TTAAAAAAAAAAAAAAAAAAAAAAAAAAAAATGGGCCCTACAAGTGTTGAGACAACTTTCCTTCAAATTACATTAGTGACACTGCTGTGATTATGTGTTAATCTCTGGGTATATGGTCAATAGATCCTCCTGAAATGTAAGTCAGCAGAGGCCCTAGAAACCCTGGTAGTAGTTAGGATTTTCTTGGGGAGAGTGAAGTCACTTGGCTTCCAGTCTTAGATTTGAAGGAGAGGGGCGTTAGACTGGACCCTAAAACTATGATCACTGTCGGGTTTCCCACCCACCTCTTTCAGGCTTTCCAGCCTGGAATTAGCCACCATTTCATTCTTGAACATTTATGGGGCTGCCTCGGTGGAAGAAGACATACAAGTGAGGCTGTCCAACTCGAAAAAAGGTGTTCTATCTTGTGCAGCGGGTCGTCTAGCTGGGGCGGTCTGAGCGTGCGCACTAGCGCCCCCTCAGGCAGGCCTGCGCCGTGGGAAGGGGCGGGGCTCCCTAGTTTCGAGGCTCGCATCCGCCTGACGCCGGAAGTGTCTTTCCGCCCCTGCCACCGGACCATGGAGGCTGTGGCACAGTAAAGTCTTGTGGTGGAAGGATTGTGGGGGTGGTGGCCATGGAGGCCGTGCTGAACGACCTGGTGTCTGTGGATGATCTGATGGTGAGGCCTGGCCCCGCGGTAGGCAAAAAGAAGAGTCAGAGGGCGGGTCCTGAGGAGAGTTGGGCACCACCAAACCCTCTAGCTTTGAGTTTGCTGAAGGAAGCCTAACTACGGCTCCCGGCAGCCTTTGCAGTGCCGGGCTCTTAGCCGAAGTATGTGTTTTGCCTCAGGGTATACTGGGAGTTGTAGTTTCTCGAAGACTCGGCACCTCAGACCTAAGGCCCAGAGTCCGAAGGTGGAAAGGCTGACCGGTTCTGGGTTCATGCCAAGTTGGGAGCTCAGGGTACTTCTTCAGTGGTGAGGGGGTTACAGCGACCATCATAAACTTTCACATAATATGGAGGCTGGCATGGTGCTTTCTTCATTGCATGTCAGATCTCAAATCTTTGTAACTCTAGGAGGTAGGCATTATTTTTATACCTGTTTTGCTGATGAGATAACAGTCCAGACCCGGCAGGGCGGGGCGGGATGGAACCAGCAGCCTCAAAGGAGGACCGCGTGGGCTTGTTGGGCAGTTCAGACAGTATGTTTACTGTTCAGTCGCTTGGGTCAGCTGCTCCGGGAACGGTGCCTAGGGCTACCACCAGGTGGCATCTCTGCTCGGTTCCACGGGGCCGCGTGGGGTTTGGAGGTATCTGTCCCCAAAATGGCCAGCCAGAGCAGAATGCCTGGTTCACAGGAAGGGAGATAGGATCCAGGGTACCAGGTACCAAAGACCCCCAAGGGAAGAGGGCAGAGCCAGGAATATCTGGAATGTAATGGGACATGGACACCAGGTCCAAATAGACTGGTTGACGCCCTTCCTTTCTAAATGGTTCCTCTCCTCTCCTATGGCAGAAATTTGAGAAGAAATTTCAGTCTGAGCAAGCAGCAGGTTCGGTGTCCAAGAGCACGCAGTTTGAGTACGCCTGGTGCCTGGTGCGGAGCAAGTACAATGATGACATCCATAAGGGCATCACGCTGCTCGAGGGTGAGGCTCCGGGCCACCCCACCTCCCTTTCTGTCCATTTCTACTACTGTTGGCTCCACTCACCTTCTCCACCAGCTCAAGTGCTGGGGTCCTTTTCTACATTAGACTCTCCCCTCACAGTGCAGTCCTCTTCCATTAAATTCACTGCAGCAAAGGGCTACACAGGCAGCCCTCTGTATCTGCAGGTCCCACAGATAAGAGTTCATTCATACTCAAAATATTTGGGGAAAACAAAAACCCTTCCTTGCTGAATATGTACACTTTTTCTTCTTGTCATTCCCTAAACAGTACAACTGTTGGGCCGGGGATGTAGCTCTGTGGCACCACACCTACCTGGCAAGCACAAGGTCCTGAGTTCGATCCCTGGTACCAAAAACAAAAAAAAAAGTGTAACTGTTAACATAGCATTTACATTGTATTCAGTATCATGTAATCTGGGGATGATTAAAACTATATGAGGGAACATACATAGGTTACATGCAAATGTTTATATAAGGAACTTGAGCACCCATAGATTCCAGAATCCAAGGAAGGGTCCTGGAACCAATCCCCTGAGGACACAAAAAGATTGCTGTAGTGGCAAAGATGCCTGTCATAGAACTATAAATATACTGTCACTCTGCATTTATCTGTTTTGCCAGTTCATATTTTTCAGGTCTGCTCTATAGTGGGGCACAATAGTAGAACAGGTCTCAGCATTGCCATGTAGTTGAGACGGTACAGATACTGGGGAAGGTTGTTTTGGTTTTGTTTTTATTTTTGTTTTTCATTTTTTGGTACCGGGGATTGCGCTTGGATCCTTGAGCTTGTGAGGCAGGTAGTGGCACCACTGAGCTAAATCCCTGGCCCTGGGGAAGGTTTTGGCAGCTACAAACTACTTAGCAACAAACTCTCTGGTACTGAGGACAACCAAGCACGTATGCCTCAGGAAAGTCACTAAATTAAGTTGTCAGGTGGGGTCATTCAGGGACATTAAGTTAGAGGAGGAAGTGTAGACTTACAGTTAACAATAATTGGGCAGCAAGTAACAGCCACAAAATACACAGCAGTTGCCAGAACTGAGTTTAGCTGCCCTTGGTCTTCTCTGGTGTCTTGATTTCATGTTTGCATGGATACGCCAGAGGTGACTGTAGTATTGATTCTGCAATGTCTGTCCCTGGAGTATTGTGGCAGCCTCAGTTCCTGCTGCCCTGGAGCTCTTAGGTGGAAAGCTGAGAAAGACTGGAACTGACGTGAAGGCTCAGGACAGACTTCCTAGGACTATGGTGGAATTCTGAGAGTAGCAGATTCTCTGGGATACAGTGTTAGAAAAAGAGAGAAGCAGTGTTCATCCTCTTCCACCTCTCTCCCCAGAGTTGCTGCCCAAAGGGAGTAAAGAGGAACAACGAGATTATGTCTTCTACCTGGCTGTGGGTAACTACCGGCTCAAGGTAAGACCACAAGACTCCTTTCTTCCCACTTGGGTGGCAGACAGGCAGACAGGGGTGGTGGCAGGTACAACGGGTACAAGGTAGTTTCAGAACAGGACTCTGAGGGAAGGTAAGAGAAAGGATCAGGGTACTGAGGGTGTGGGGACCAAGGTGAGGGAGTACAGCCCCAAGTCTTGGGCTGTTATCTCCACTGGCTTATCACCCTAATACCGTTGGGGTTGTTTGTGGACTCTACTCCATTGGGCGGGGTTGGAGTGATGGCAGGAGGAGGGGAGGGAGGAGCCCTGGGCTGGAACAGAGAAGGTGCCCCAGTTGGGTAGATGGGCAGTAGAGTCCCCTGGTGCTTATGATGGGGGGCGTTGTTTGCCCTGAGTACAGGAATATGAAAAGGCCCTGAAGTACGTGAGAGGGCTGCTGCAGACGGAGCCCCAGAACAACCAGGCCAAGGAGCTGGAACGGCTCATCGATAAGGCCATGAAGAAAGGTGAAATCCTCACCCTTTGTTAAATCCCCTTTCCCCATCATTCCTGGGCCCTTGGAATGTTTTTAAAGGACCCCCTTCTCCCCCATCCCTAAGAAGTCACTTCAAACCCATCTTCTGAAACTGTCCCCAGCCTTTGGATCTCAGCCCAGAGACTCCAGGTGGAGGTGCGCCTCTTCTGTGGAGCAGTGGGCCAGGGAAGTCGGTCGGGGTCCCTGTGGGGGCTGTGTTCAGCTCCTAATAGCCTCCCCTTTCTTTTCCCCAGATGGCCTGGTGGGCATGGCTATTGTTGGTGGCATGGCCCTGGGTGTCGCAGGACTGGCTGGACTCATCGGACTTGCTGTGTCCAAGTCGAAATCCTGAAGGAGACTGCCCCTGTTCCTCTGCCTGGGGTTCTCCTAGGGCACTTTCCAAAGAGGAGCCATCCATCCTTGCAGGCCATTTCCTGTTCTCCCCTGTATCCTTGTTACTGTCCTCTGGGGCCTTCTGCCTCCACTTTCCTGAGATCTGTTGTTCAGCCACAAGTCATATGCTTTGGGATGAGTGTAAATAAAATTGAGCCGAATTTGAGAACTGCGTGTCTGAGAGAGGCTTTGCTGTTGCTGTGAGCTAGAGGGCACCATTGGTCCTTCCTGCCTTGTGCCCCCTTGCTCTTCCCCTCCAGCTGGTGTGGTGCCCACCCCATACCCTTCTTCCCTTCCCCAATGCCACATCCTTGACATGTAGAGACATGGCCTTTCGATGGCCCCGCAGTCCTGGGAGAGAGCAGTGATCAGAGGAGGGGAGGCAGCGAGGCCGAGCGGCCAGTCTGGAATTTATGACTCCAGTCTCCTCTGACCCACTCAATGGTCTCTCAGCCCATGGAGTTTTCCATGCCAGGGACCCACACTGGGTTTCCTCCAAACCTCCACCCTTCCCTCCCTTTGTCTTCCTGTGCCCTCCCCTTCCTCCTGCCCCATCCCTTAGGGGAATAGGGGACCGGTAGTGGTACAAAAGAGGCTCGCTTAGCATGGAGGAGCAAACAGGGGTCTTAACGGGTAGGTCAGGACCGAGAGTGCTCCAGGTACAGCCCATGGGCAGGAAAACCAGGCTCCACCCAGCCAGGCTCACCCCACGCTCCCTTGTGCCAGGCTGTGCGTGGGCCTGCGTGCATCACTGCATACTGTTCATTCCACAGCCCCGCCAGGCCACAGCAGGAGGAGGCAGCTGAGGGGAGCACGGAAGGGCCAGGAAAGGAGGGATGAGCAGTTACAATCTGGAGCAGCAATGTTTCCTCACAGGAACAGCCCCAGTGCCCCTTGCTTAAAGAGAAGCAGAGCTGTCTCCACTCCAGTCGGGGCAGGAAATGAAAGCAGTTATACTGGGACAGGTGCTCAGTCTGGCTTGGGGTGGGGCCCAGAGCCCTCTAATCCATAACTAAGGAGCCGGTAACAGTCCCTGGCACTGAACTGGTGAGATTAGCCACAGGATCACGTCCTGGGCCTGTGATCCAACCCCTACCCACCCCGGGCCCCTTGGCAGCAAGATCAAGCTTGATGCCGAGTCAAAGGTCAGCTCTAGGAGGGGGAAATTCAAGTTCAGGAAATGTGGAGGAGTGCAACTCCGGTGGCCTCCCCTCTGCCTGCAGCATTCAGATCCGAGACAGCCCCCACAGATGTACAGGCATTGGTGGTCCAAATCTGTGATCATCTGTGAAGCCAGTAGCAGTATCTCATTGCCAGGAGCAGAGACAAGTAGCCCGGATCACCAGGAAGTGATGGAATCTAGTTTGAGTCCAGATAAGCTGGACTCCAAAGCTGTTGGTCTCCCCCAACTATCCCCTCGGTCATCCATCTTCCAGGAGACCCTAAGGCCCTGAGTGTCTTGGGTAGTTCTCACCATTCATAGTGGCTCTTTTCCCTCGACCCTTCACAGAAAGGCTGCAGTGAGCCTACTGGAGCTCATCGCTCTGTCTCCTGTTCCTCTCATGTCTCGGTCACCTTTTCCTTCTTTGTCCCTCTTATTACTTTCTCTGGCCCCCCCGACGAAAGCTGAGTCAGACAGCCACTTTCCCTTGGCGCCCAGTGCCTCCCTGGCCTATCCGTTAGTCTCCTGGGTAAGTCTGCTCCCCCACCCTTATGGGGCGGGGAACCTGGAGCTGGGAGGCTGGGGGAAGGGGTGGACTTTTGGCCCGTTTATTCTGCATCTCCTGTCAACAGCTGCCAAACGCACTCGGCTCATTCCTCTGACCTGCTGGGAAGCGCAGTGACCCAGGAAGGAGGGAGACAGAAACTTGGAGCCAGACCTGAGCCAAAGGAGGAGGCAGACAGAGGCTGCTGGACTTCCACCCTCTTCTCCCTCTCTGCCTCAACACTCATCTTTGGTCAGAGCTGCTTCAAGTTCCCCAGGGGATCCCTGCAGCTCCACCCTGCCCTTCTGGGGCCCCAGCCCCTTGGGGGCCTCCATCCCAGGATGTCGATAGCTGTGGAGACCTTTGGCTTCTTCGTGGCAGCCCTGGGGCTCCTGATGCTGGGGGTGACGCTGCCGAACAGCTACTGGCGAGTGTCCACTGTTCACGGGAATGTCATCACCACCAACACCATCTACGAGAACCTCTGGTACAGCTGTGCCACCGACTCCCTGGGTGTCTCCAACTGCTGGGAGTTCCCATCCATGCTGGCCCTCTCTGGTACAGGCTGGGGAAAGCCCCGGGGAGCAGAGGGAGGGAGTGGGTGGGAAGACCCCAGAAGTGGGCAGCAGCTACCTTTGATCTGGCCTTGGGCATCCTAAGGGTGGGAGGCTGGGGTCAAGCTTTGGGTCCTGGGCTGATGCAGCTGGGACAAACTGGTCTGGAAATGGAGAGCTTGTGACGCGTGGCACTCTGTCCCTGGTTACAGGAACAGGCACCAGAGTCAAGCTGCCGGCACAACTCCTGGCTCGCAAGCTAGCTCTGTGCCTTGGGCAGGTGATTCATGAGGTTTGTCTCAGCCATCTGCAAGCTTAGGTAGCAACAGCATAGTTTACATGCAGGTGGCTGTGAGGACTGCATGGGACACAGCCTGTAGCTGTTAACTTGCTATTCGTCTATGTGCACTGGATATATTCCAGTTTTTTTATTGTGGGGTGGGATTGCTGAGCTGGGCAGGGGTCTCCATCTTGGACTGCTGGTGGTGATATTCCGAGGTCTCAGTAGTGTCCCCAGGTGTCCGTGCGCCTCACTTCCTTGCCAGGCTGAGCTCTGGAGCGCCTGTGTCAGGGCCTGGTTGTAGTGGGAGGCGCCTTGTAGGCAGGGTATCCACCGTAAAGAGATGGTGTTAACTTGCAAATCCTCCTCCTGCCTCCTGTTCACCCCCTAGGACTGGGCCCTGTCATTTCCCCCTAGAGCCTCCCTCAGTCTGCCGGTGCTGGAGACCAAGAGTTGATGACCATGAACCCTCAGATCTCCCCCTACCCAAACTCCCAGCCCCTGCAGGGCCTTGGGAGCCCTCATTTTTCCAGGCGCAGAGGCCAGGGCAGGTGGGGAGGAGCACTGGGTGTGAAGCAGGGCTGGCAGAACTGCCCTGTGAATGGCAAAGGTGCTCTGAGCAGTTGCAGGGTTTCTCTCTCCCCGACTCTGCTGAGGCAGCTGCAGGACTTTGTGCTTCCATCAGTCCCCTGTGTTTACTGTGTGCAGGACAAGTGCCCCCAAAACACTGTAAAAGCTGATCCAGCTGGGTGAGGTGGCACACACCCGTGGATTCCACCAACTCAGGAGGCTGAGGGAGGAGGATCACAAATCTGAGGTTAGCCTAGGCAATTTAGTAACACTGCCGCAAATTTTTTAAAAAGCCAAGGGTGGTAGCACACACCTGTAATCCCAGCACTCAGGAGGCTGAGGCCGGAGAATCGCTGGGAGTTTGAGGCCAGCCTAAGCTACATAGTGAGTTCAGACCTTCCTGAACTACAGAGACCCTGTCTCAAAAA